TGAAAAGTCCCCCCCCCCCCCCCAAGGCACCAGAGGTCGAGGAGGGCATGGGGAAGAGGTCGGCTTTGCAGACAGAAGCAGGAGCCAGGGGCTCGGTGGAGGCTGTGGGAGCAGGTTGGGCCAGTGGGGGGTGCTGGCCATGGCATCCCAGCAGCTGTGAAACCAGAGTGTGTGAACACCCCACCCCCCCCCCCCGGCTTATAGCAAAGTAAATGGGTGTCGCTGATTCAAACACTTATGATATGGACGGAGCCTAAATAGGCTTCTGGCCAGGGTCTCTGAATCCTGTTGAAGACTTAGTCTCTGCTGTAAGCCACCCTGCCCGGCTGGTTCCAGCATGCCCCGAGGTTAGTCGTGCTCCACGCAGGGTGCTGTGACTAGCTGTAGTGGTACCAGCTGGTGCAGTGCGGGGCTAGGACTAAGGGACTGTGATTGGGTTAGGGAAAAGGTGGGGGCACAGGGGAGTGGGTGCATTTGTTGTAACAGGTGCATAGTTTCTTAATGTGGTTTAAGGTGTGTGATGTAAAGTTTATGCTAGATGGTGTGTGTGTGTATACTTTATATTTTTCCAAAAAAAAAAAAAAAAAAAGGATGTAGTCTCCCAGCCCTGCTGCTGCGGTGGCGAGGTGCCTAGAGCATTCACTCATCCCCAGAACAGCATTCACGGCCTGTGCCTAGGGCCCCTATGCGCTCCCCCAGACCCAGGGAGGCAGCATGGATGTGGTGACTGAGGGCTGATACAGGAGTGCAGACCAGATAGTACTGCTGTTTATGGCTCCTGTGGCCTGTGTCTTTCATCAGTGACCCCAAGTCATGCTGAGGCTTCAGGAGCTGTGGGGAAAGTGCCTGGGCTCCACTAGTTTTTTTCCAAGGCCCTTGGGCTCCTAATTCACTTTGGTAGTTTTACCCAGGGCCAAGTGCTCTGTCTTGTAAACTGCTTCCTTGAGCTCATAGAGCTCAAGACCTGATGACTTTTGGAAAAGATGGTCTGTCATTGCTGAATGCCAGGAAGCTTTGCGAGAAGCACAGCACAGGAGACAATGTTTTACTGGCCCAGCTGTCGCTGAGAAGAGAGGCAGTTAGTCCAAAGTCGGGCAGAGTTGCATCTTATGCTGCTCTGAATTAGTCGATAAGCTTTTGTAAGGACGTGAAGGAGAACTGAGCCTACGACTGGGCAGAATGTCTTTGATGCTATGGATTGTTATTTGCACATCTGCGGTGCTACCACAGCGTGGCCCCCTGCAGCACCCTTGGAAGGGATCTCATGGCACCCCACTGAGAGAATCACAAGTTAGTCCTTTGGGAGAGATGTTGGCATCGGGCATCCTGTGTAAATTAAGTTCCCTTCCTCAAGTCTGTGACAGAGGCAGAGACAGCCTCTGCTAAATACCAGGGAGAACAATGACTTTTGTTTAACCTCATTATGCAAACGGGAAGAGTCACTTAAAGAAGGGGAAGAGGGCAGGAAACCTGTGGAGGGAAGGGAGCTCGGAAGTAGCTGCAGACCAAATAAAGAGCAATTGGAATCGATGAGCCTAATTATGGGAAAGAATGAGCCCATTGAGAAGGGAAAGCAGATGTTCGTGCTTATGGAGAGAAGACATGCAGGGAGCCAGTGTTCGGGTTAAGTCCTTGGTTCTTGGCATCCAGCAAAGGCTGGGACTAAGGAGCCTGAACTGTCACCGAAGGTGTGGCGCAGGCCTCCTGTGGTGCAAAGACAGGTAGGGGTGCCATGAGACCATGTTCACTCCCTGCCAGTCCAGTATCTCTGCCCAGGGAGCATCGTGGCAGTTTGATTTCACCTCTGGAGTTTCCCTGGAAACCTTTGGCATGGGAGAGAGCGTGTGCTTTGTGAGGGATGCATCTCAATCAGAGTCACGGGGCTAGGAGGGATCCCAGGGCACCCCTGCAGACCTGTGTCTGCTAAACCATCCTTGCCCAATGCTTATCCAGCCTCCTCTTGAAACCTCCAGTGAATGCAATTCCCAGCCGGTCTGTTCCTCTTTTTCTAAGGAGACTTTCCCCCGAGATCTGGAGTCAATTCCAGGGGCCCTGAGTGCCCGTTGCCATACCTGTCTGCTTTAGCAGGCCCCTAACCGTTCCCTGTGGGGTGAGAGGGTGTAGG